TTGATAGGGATTGCATTGAATCTATAGATTGCTTTGGGTAGTATAGCCATTTTGACAATATTGATTCTTCCAATCCATGAACACGGTATATTTCTCCATCTGTTTGTGTCCTCTTTGATTTCTTTCATCAGTGTTTTATAGTTTTCTATGTATAGGTCTTTTGTTTCTTTAGGTAGATATACTCCTAAGTATTTTATTCTTTTTGTTGCAATGGTGAATGGTATCGTTTCCTTAATTTCTCTTTCTGTTTTCTTGAGGGATGCAAGGGATTTCTGTGTGTTAATTTTATATCCTGCAACTTTACTATATTCATTGATTAGCACCAGCAGCTCTTATAAGGAAACAAACACCAAAGAAAATTAAGGCACTTGTTAATCATACAGCCAGTTTGGAGGGAGCCAAGACCAGAACTTAGATCCTGGACTTCTTGCTATGCGTCTCTGCTCTGTCAGCCTGCACCTTGGGTTAATGGAACCTAGTTTCGCCAAAGGAAAAATGTAGGAGATCACGTTTAGCAAGATAAGTCCAGGTGATGCTGAAAAGATACTAAAGTAGTGGTTTTAAATGTTATTCTAAGGAATGAGGATTCACTAAAGAACTTTGAGCAGGAGAGTCTTCCTAACCAAAGAGGTATTGGGGAAATATTTATGTGGTAGTTTTCAGACGAACTGTCAATATTTTGCTCAGCAGTCTTAGATTAAATAATTATGAATTAATTGCTTCCCCAAATGATTGTGTTTACTGAATAAAATGCCTTAATTTTATCAGAAATTAATAATGATAAAAAGGGAAAATCTCAGTTACAAATAAAGTCATCTATTGCTTAGCTCTATCATACCACCTAAGGAATATCTAGAAATAAAACAAAAGGCCCAACGATATTTGGAATCACCCCAGTCTTTAGGTAGAAGCCTAATTTGGCCTGAGTCCACTATAGCCCACCCCTATATACATCCATAACTCTTAAACTAATGATTAGTGCCATATGGTGATGGCTTATTTTACACGATCCCTCCCTCTTTCTTCTGTACATGTGCATCCATTAGAAAGAAGAATAAAAGCATTCTTGTACCTTTGGAAGAATGCCTTAGGAAAAACGTCCCGCACACATGGCAGATTTTGTCTAAAGGAGCTGCCCTCCATGAGCGGGTTGCTCTGGTTCCAGCCAAAGCCCTGGATGAGCTCTGCTGGGTCCTCCTCTCTCCACTCAGATATTTACAGCTTTGAAATTCTCCAAAGTCAAGATAATGGTCTGCCTCATTGAGGGGCAATACACTGATGGGTAGAAATTGACCTGACACTATGAAAACCCCAAGGTCCCATGGTTCCCGAAGTCTGATTAGCTGGTTCATTGCAAGACGCACATCAAGCACTGGAACACAGGGAAAAAATGCCACAAATAGTGCTTCAAATTGATTTTAGGGTCACGGCCATCTGCACTTTTGACCCTGACTTTGACCCTCCTCACATCTCATTTTCCATCTCTGCTGCTATCCTGACTATACACGCTCTGAGCAGAGAGGACGCCCGCTTTACATGTGCTTGGGCTGAACACTGCCGTGGGATTGTTGCCGGGCAACAGCAGCCAGAACAATTTGTTTGGGGAGCATTTTGAGAATGATTGCACTTGCGGGTTGGGGTGGGTTAGTAGTGTGTCATCGTTCTTTTTTTTTCTTCCTCTGGTACCTATTCCTGGATGTTGTAAATATTCATCTGAATTTTGCATATATGAGGGGAAAACGTTATTTAAATGAGCTTGGGAGGGTAATTTGCTCGGGTGCATCACTACACTCTTTTATGTTTTGCAGGCAGTCTGCTGCAGAAGGAGGAAAAGCCATTTTGTGACCGTTATTGACACAGATGACAATGCTATGCTGGCTTGTTTCAGTTCCATAGAACAATGGGAGCAGAAGAAGATGCAGTTTAATGAAGGCATTTAGCAAATTGTTGGTAAATGGTGGGGATACAACGGCCCCAGCGAAGTCATCAGGCACATTTTCTCTCTAATGTGGCTGCAGTTACTCTCCTGGCCTCCCGGCTCCTCCTCTCCGAGAGGCAGACTTCCTCTTCCTCTCTGTTCCACGCTGGGAAACAGCACTTGGCTAAACCCAGGAGAACTGATTTGAAAGGTAGTGGGAGGAAGCAGTTCCTTTCCAAAGGAATCTGCAGGCTTAAAGGTCTGCAGAGCACCGATTTCAGATGAATTCGGCGCGGAGGAATCACAAATAACTTAGAAAATCATCAGTGTCAATATTGCCCACACCCCTGGAATATTAATATGTACACACACCCACGCACCCCCCTGGAGATGCATTTATTTCACAATTCACAAACGGTGAAGAAACCTTTCCTGAAATTTTTTTCCTTAGGGACTTGGGAAGCCAGGAGTAAAATTGTGATTCTTCCAAATGCTTCCCCATATGACTGAAATACTCCCATTAAAGTGAATTTCCTTGGTCTACACACATTCTGTGGGTCTTAATGACCACCTTCCTGACTCATGAAAGAGAAATTCTCCTTGAGGCTGCTCTGTCCCCTCCCTTGGCTGTGACTTAGTCAGTAGCCTCTGACCCTAAGTGACAGAATTTGAGGTTGGAACACCAGCCAAATACAACAATTGTGTTTAGGGCCCAGTCAGTTACAAACTCCATCTCTCCATCCCCAGGGACATGTCTGTGGATATAAGACAATGCCTCTGGGCCATCTGACCTTGTGAGCCCCCAAGTTGTGGGCTTCTGGTCCAGATTGTGTTCAAGTAGATATTCCTTCTAAAGGAGTTCCATCCCAGGGCTATAATCCCAGATCTTTGAGCTTATTTTTTAAGCTCTCTTATGTAGGAGGCAGCTTTTGGCCAAGAATTCAGTAAAACTCTTTCTGGTTCATGGTTACCTCAAGAACAAGTCAAAGATGAAGTTTCATTTCGGGTAACAGCACTCAAATAACCAGGATTCAAATCGGAGTGGAAGGAGCCTCCACATGTTCTTCATAGAGTCACCGTATGGTGTTCAGTTGTTCAGTCATGTCCAACTCTTTGTGAGCCCATGGACTGCCATATGGTCCAGGAATCCAACTCAAGGCATATATCCAGAGAAAACTCTAGTTCAAAAAGATTCATGCATCCCAGTGATCATAGCAGCACTGTTTACAATAGCCAAGACATGGAAGCAACCCAAGTGTTCATTGACAGATGAATAGGTAAAGAAGATGTGGTAAATATATATACAATAGAATATTACCCAGCCATCAAAAAAGAATGAAATAATACCATTTGCAGCTACCTGGATGGACCTAGAGATTATCATACTAAGTGAAGTAAGTCAGACTGAGAAAGACAAATATCATATGATATTGCTTATATGTGGAATCTGAAAAAAAAAAGATACAAATGAGCTCATTTATAAAACAGAAATAGACACACAGACATAGAAAGCAAACTTATGGTTAGCAAAGGAGAAAGGTGGAGTGGGATATAAATTAGGGGGATTAACATACACACTACTAAATATAAAATAAATATCAAGTACCTACTGTATTCAGTTCAGTTCAGTCGCTCAGTTGTATCCGACTCTGCAACCCCATGAACTGCAGCACACCAGGCCACAAAGAATTATACTCAAATTTAGTAATAACCTATAAGGGAAAAGAATCTGAAAAAGAATACATATATTCTTATATAAATATATATGGCTGAATGTATATGAATAAATATATGTATATATATGACTGAATCACTTTGGTGTACACCTTGAAACTAACATGATACTATAAAAGAAACAACTGGGGTGAAAGGTCAACAGTAAAGAGGATAGAGATGTAGGGGGAAATGAATTCAAAAGTGAATACATTGTTTACTGTTCATCAAGGCATCCAGTGCTGGATTAGAATACCAGGTCCCTCAAAAGTTTCCATCTGGACACTGGCTTCAAGATGGCCTTGAAAGCCCACAACTTCCATGGAAGTGAAAGTGAACGTCTCTCAGTCCTATCTGACTCTGACTCTGCACAACCCCTTGGACTATAGAGTCCATGGAATTTTCCAGGACTGAATACTGGAGTGAGTAGCCTTTCCCTTCTCCAGTGGATCTTCCCAACTCAGGAATTGAGCCAGGGTCTCCTGCATTGCAGGTGGATTCTTTACCAACTGAGCTATAAGGCAAGCCCCTGCACCTTCCATATTTCCACCAAACCTTCTGTTTGTTGAGCACGTGTCAGGTTCAAGCCATGTTCATAGGTCTTGTATAGGCTATTTGATGGCAAAATGCAGACTCTCCCCTCAAGATTGCAGGCACAGGCTTTCTCTTGGCTTTAGCGGGAGAGATTCAGCCTCGGGCAATAGCACCTGCATCAATCCAGCACTGCGATACAGCATCCAGCCCCTCAGAGAGGACGTCTGACTCCAGCGATGACCCACAGCCCCCTTTGCTTCTACTTCCCATTGAAAAATATCCTTTATCTCCTGATTCAAAGTTTACCTCCGGGAACAACCCTTCTGTTTTGCTCACACCCCGAGGTGAAGAGCATATGTCACAAATGCCACAGCCATATTTAGACGTGTCTGTTGTTCAGCTCCACTGAGCCCGCCCCCAAGTTGCCTTCTCCATGGCAATTACTCATGAAATCTGAACACGCCTGCGAATTAGTGTTAGGTTGCTTTCATTTCCCAATTAAATGACCACCTGCTAGTATGTGATTCTGGTTTGGTGTGGTCCGCCTTTTCCCCTTCAGCTTTTAGGAAGAATAAAAAAGGTACCTACCTTCTTTACATAGAGAATAATTATTGTGCAGAGCTGTCCACCTAAGGCAACAATGCAACATGCATTGTGAGTGTATTCAAAGAAGAGCTGGACAAGGATGAAGAAAGTTCCATGGTATAAACATTAGACAGACAGGTGGATGGGTTTGGATAGACCATATGGCCCCCTTCTGCCTAGAAACACACAGAATCATATTTTGCGAAAATCCCTTCAAGAACTATGTCGAAACAGTAAATTATGGCAAAGAAAATTCTCGTAATGCCTTAGCCGTGTCCATTATTATGATGTTGATGTTGTAATCCTGGGGAATTGTTTCCAAGATAGAGCTAACACACTTGTCGTAGCATAAATGAGGTGGCAGAGGGTAAGGGAGAGGGATAGGGAAGAGGCATTCAGTCTTGTTTTCTCAAGAGAAATGGATATATACTTGACTAACTCGTAGCTGAGGAAAACGCTGGTACCCCAGCGCAGCCCCTTGGGAGCAACCACTGTGATGCGAATCCAACGTTCCGAGCTGAACAACAGACCCAAAACGCACCAGGTAATGAGAAACAGTGTCATTTCTGGAAAACATTAGAGAATATTTTTCTTCCCCTCAGGAAGGCAGAGCATATGATTCCCATTCTCACATTATGACAGAAACGCTGCATGCACGCTATGTGGAGGATGCTGCCTGAAATTCCGAGAGCCCATACTTGATGAGGAGCTTCAAACATGCTTCTTCAAGCCCAGTTTAATTGACACCCTGGTTGACAAGATAACACAGTTTTGACAGCAACTCTGCACTAAAAGCATTTCTCTTCCGATTTTCAAGAAGTTCTTCTTGCCCAGAGGTTGGGATATGAGAAATCCGTAGCCTTTCTGAGCAACTTAGTCTGAGCCATTGACACATGGCCAGTGTGTGGTGAGACTACTCCAACCTAAGAACAGCAGTAAGGTCCTTTGCATTGTGACAAAATGGTACTTCTCTGTCTGTCTCACCTCTGGCCACACATGGGCAGAATGGCCTGCCCCTCTAATCCTCATGCTCCCTCCCAGGAGACTCGGGAGGTTACTCCTTTGTGCCTGAGGCCTCTCAGGTACCCGGTGGCCCCTTCCATGGCCCTTCGATCTGGCTTCTTGTTGAGATGCCTCCAGTTGCTACTGACTCTCAACTTGTCACAGTGATGCTAGCGGCCTGATCCTTCCACTAGCACCTAAAGTGTCCAGGGCCACCGTGGTCCTTCTGAGGAGGTACCAGAGCCTGCACTGCTTATGGAAATGCACCAACCTGGAAATACCTGTGTGGCTAGTGGGGCAAAGGTCCTTGCTAGAGCTGTGTCACAGCCCGGTAACAAGCTGGAAGGGAGAGCATTCCCTCCATCCACACTGGCGCTGTGCTCTCATGCTGGCCAGGATGCTGCGGTTACTCGCATGTGATACAGGGCTCTTAGGGAAACAGCGCTTGTCTGTGACATTGAGGTCTTTATTATTACTTCCTCTTCCTAGGGTTGCTGTTTGAGTCCTTGGGGGTTTGGGCGAAAGATATTAGAGAGACAGATGTCACAGTGCTCTTAATCATGTTCTTCTACGCGCCTCAATACATACTCAGGCCGAGACCTTCCCCAGGAGGATTTCCTGTCGTCATGCAGCTAGACATCTAGCAGAGTGACATCAGCACCCTCAGGACACTGTCACCAAACTGGGCCCCATGTCACAGTGCTAAGAATTGAACAGAACAGTATTTCTATATACCCTTGAATTTCACTTTTATATAAACCAGTACCAAATCTCCAGCGACAAAGTCTAGCAGGTGTTAGATGATTCTACTACAAATAAAAAGAGAATGCATGAATCTGTAAAGAGGAATAATTTCACTTTCCCCTCTGTTCTCTTGTCATGGATGAGACTATGGGAGAGTTTCAGGAGGCAGCTTGTCCCTCCGAAGCTTTGGGAGAATCACATTGTCTACAACAAAGAGAAGAGCAAGTAAAATATAGTAATACTAAACATCCAAAAAGTGAAGGAGCTAATCAGATAGTCTTTTCAATCTTTTGTCTACTCTGCCTCCAAAACTAATTTAGGTGATAACTACAAGACATCATACTAACCTATTGGCCAACAAAAAATAATTAGGCATTTAACCAACACTTTTAGCTATATAAGGCCAAGTAATTGGTTTGATTCACTTTTTCCCACCAACATGACTGATTCATAGATTGCCTTGGTTGGTTGGCATTTGATAAATACACTAACAGGAGACTCCAGAAGGAAGTCATCACCAGCCTTCATTTTAAAATATCCTTTCTTTTTTAATGCATCAAATACAATAAAAATAATTTTGTAGGCAATGTTATATGTTTTCTCAGTTCGTTTAATCATGCAATCCATATGGCTTAAGAAATAAGGAACATGTTTATAACTTTTAAAGGAATATGATATCCTTCTAAACTTCTTAAAAACTTCTAAGCTTCTTTCTAAAAGTTCAAGTCTGGGTAAAAGATAATGCTTTTCAACTATTTCTAATTATGAAAATGCCAACAGTACAAACTTCCTTGTTATATTTTATAGCTTAGACTTACTGAAGCTACGCAAGATGACTGCAATCGATACAAAGTGAGAAATCCATCTTTCAGACCCTGGGAACTGAAAAAGGGTCCTGTGCCCCTCTCCATAAACAACCTAAAATGCTACCCATCAAGGTTCATCCTGAGGTTAGAAATCTGCCAGTTTCAGAGGGAGATAAGCATCTTCTTCAAGAATTTATAGCCTTTAAACCATTTCCTTGTATCACTTAAAAAAGCAAATACAGTCAGCCGATACAGCCCCAAGAAGGATATCAGTGTATTGCCTTTGCAGTTTCTTGTGAATTTGAAGCTGTCAAAGACATAATTAAAACACGTCCCCCCAAGAAAAGCCCAACCTGAGACAGCTCCTATCCACAGTCCCTGTCTCTCCAGAACCTGTAATTACTCCATGTACTCAGTGAACAAAATCAGGTTTGCTTATAATTTGGGGACCACGCTTTCTCTTATATGTGTAAAGAAACACTTGTGTCAAATGATACCCCATCTTACAGAATGGCAGCTCTTGGTGGCTCAGCGGTAAAGAATCTGCCTGCCATGCAGGAGACACAGGAGACACGGGTTCAACTCCTGGGTCGGGAAGATCCCCTGGAGGAGGAAATGGCAAACCACTCCAGCATTCTTGCCTGGAGAATCCCATGGACAGAGGAGCCTGGCGGGCTAGAGTCCGTGGGATCACAAAGAGTCAGACACAGCTGAGAGAAAAGACAACAACAAAGGTCTTCTTGCTCTAAAAGATGACAGCACTTGGCTACCTTGATGTGGTCCCGGGATGGGACGATTATAGTGAATGTAACAGAAACTCACACCCTTTTATAAACTACCTCAAGAGATAACAATAATTTTAATTTCCCTGACACCCTAGCTCGTGGGTCTAAAATATATGCTTTTAGAAGACAAGGACAGCAGAACCCCAGCGACAAAGTGTGGTAGTTACCCAAAGGTTGGGAATTCCCTGGATAACTCATATATCAGAAAAGGAGCATCAAGACTTTCCCAGCAGTCCAGTGGTTAAGACTTTGCCTTCCAAGGCAGGGGCTGTGGGGTGGATCCCTGGTTGGGGAACTAAAATCCCGCAGGCCTCAACAGCCAGTAAACCAAAACCTAAAACAGAAGCAATATTGTAGCAAATTCAATAAAGACTTTTAAAATGGTACACATAAAAAAATTTTTTTAAATAAGGAGCATCAATTGTATTTGGGAAATCTGCACCAAACAATGGCTTCTCAGATTTCTCACCATTTCCAATTTACCCTGAATTATCGGCTATACTTTAGGGTCAGGGGAGGTAGTAGTTTACTTGTCTCTGAGGGGGTCTGGTGAAGCACAGAGGTGGAGAGGATGGATTTCTTGTAAAGACCCCTCTGTGTACATCCTGATAGAGTGAAGGGGTTGAAGAAGGAGGAAAAAAAAAAACACACAAGCATTTGTGCTCCTCTACTCTCCTTAAGACATACAAAGCACCAACCAGAGCACTCGTTTTGTGCTAAATACTGTGATAGATGCTTGAGACGAGAAGCCTTCAAATGCGCTTTACAACCAGGGGCTGGCACACATCCATCATTGGTTGAATCTTTCATTTCTCAGCTACTCTCTGATGCCTAAGTGTGAAAAAGTCAGTATGCCTGAATTGAATTTTTAGATCGCTTTCCGTCAATACACATTTGTTTGTTTTCTAAATCAACAACAAATGCAACAGTAAATACTTGGGCTGCTCAGTTGTGCGGCCTTGCCTGCTGCCTGGTGCTGAAACAGGGTTCAGCTTGTTCCGTTCTGGATTAAGCCTCATTCCATGAAGGGGAGGTTTTATAGAAAACCAGCATGGTGGTTTGTGCACACCTCTGTGTGTGTGTCTGTGTGTGTGGCATATGCGCATGCGTGTACACACACTGGCAGTTGTTTCCACGTAGTTCAGAAATAGCTCAGGAACAGTCTTAAAGAGGTGGATGCAAAGGCAGTGTACTCAGTTTTGTCTGGGGCTGACAGAGCTCATTGGAACCCCATATTTAGTTCTGATTTTAAAGTGAAGTTGTAGTTTGCACTGCCCACAAACTGGAGAAAGCTTTAGTCCCTCTGAAGAAGCAAGCATGTGGGGAAAGGCTGACTGGATTAAATATAAGAAATTTTGTTTCCAATTAGTCCCACAAATCCCATAGATATAGCCTTGAGTTTAAAAAAAAATGCAAATGTGAAAAAAAAATCTGTAATTTAATAAAGGCAAACCCTTCATGATTTCTGAAAAGAATTTCTGCCTAACCAAGCAGGGGAAGATGGACCAGCTGTTCTTGCTGAGTGAGGGAGCAATGCTGTTCCTCTCAGATCCCAGAGGGCATGCCTGCTCTCTAGGGAAGCACCACCCGCCCGAGCATCTTCTCTCCTGCTCTTTCACCCTGCAAAATAAACCAGGTTGAGAAGCTTCAGCGTGATAATTTAGGGTTTGAAAGACTTCTGTTCACTTATTCATTCATTCAATTGTATATTAGCTCTTTCCATCTAAGTCAGTAAATGCCTCCTTGCTACCAAGTTCAAGCTCATACTGCTTATCTCATGACAGGCTGATAAATCAAGAGATAGGGTGTTGAGGGAAGGAATAGTACTACTATTTGGAAAGTCAGCAGACAGAGAAGATGGTGGCTAGTGTCCCAGAGAACAATCTTACCGGTTAGAATTCAGACGTCTTTTATACTAAAAGGGAGTGGTTGTGGCTGGTTACTGCAAACTTCTTGATGCAGGAATCCTGCAACAAAACAATTGCTATTCTCTGTTCTGCAACTTTTTATGTCTATGCGAATGGGAAAATGTTATACCTTTAAGGGGCAGAGCCTTGAGAATGGGCTCTACTATGTATTTCAGGGTATAGGCAATATTCTTTTACAAAAGGTACAGAACCAGCATGGCAAAGCTCAGACAATAGAGCACAGGGTTAGAGCTAAAGAAATGCATTCAATACACAAATCTGTTTTTCTCTCAGATTTCTTCTTCTCTCTTACATCCTCAGTGCCACTTGCACTACAAAGGTGATGGGGGTGGGGGAAGACTTAAACTTCACAGCATGTCCTTGAACTGAAGTCAGAGAAAGTATCTATGGATAAAGAGAGCAAAAGCAAGAAACTAAAAGAAATGGAAATGTACTCACATCTCCTATAGTTCCCCTGCAGCTAGCAGAGTCTGACCTTCAAGATTAAAGCCATGTTTGACCATGGACTTGGTCTGGTGCACACAACAGAGACATGAGCAGTTTATCTACTGTGAGGGTTTCCTCCAGCTGGGGTATCAGTGAGTCCACTCCTAGGTAACCTGATCAGGGATAGGCTTCCTCTGAGGATGTCTTTCCTCTTGGGCTCCCGGTCTTATTACACACATACCCTCTGATTCCCCTGCATTCATTCATAGGGAGGGAGGTGAGGTGATGCATTAGTTTTCTAGGGCTGCTTTAAGAAATTACTACAAACCGGGCAATGTAAAACAACAGGAATGTTCTGTTTTGTGGTTCTGGAAATCAGAAGTCCAAATCAACGTGCTGACAGGACTGGCTCTTCTGGAGGCTCTGAGGAAGAGTCTGTTCCATGCTCCTGTCTTGGCTCTGCTTACTCCCCTTGCTTGTATCACCTGTCTCTGTAGTCACATGGCTTTCCTCTGTCTGCATGAATGTCCCTGTCTTTTTTTCCCTCTTCATACGAGTCATGTTCGATTAGAGACCCACCCTACTATCCAGGATGACCTCAGTCAGTTCAATTCAGTTCAGTCACTCAGTCGTGTCTGACTATTTGCAACCCCATGGACTGCAGCACGCCAGGCTTCTCTGTCCATCACCAACTCCCAGAGCTTAATCAAACTCACGTCCACCAAATCAGTGATGCCATCTGACCATTTCATCCTCTGTCATCCCCTTCTCCTCCTGCCTTCAATCTTTCCCAGCATCACGGTCTTTTCCAGTGACTCAGTTCTTCGCATCAGGTGGCCAAAGTATTAGAGCTTCAGCTTCAGTATCAGTCCTTCCGATGAATATTCAGGACTGATCTCCTTTAGGATGGACTGGTTGGATCTCCTTGCAGTCAAAGAGACTCTCAAGAGTCTTCTCCAACACCACAGTTCAAAAGCATCAGTTCTTCAGCACTCAGCTTTCTTTTTGGTCCACCTCTCACATCCATACATGATCACTGGAAAAAACACAGCTTTGACTGGACAGACCTTTGTCGGTGGCTTCATTTGAACTAATTGTATCTGCAAAGACCCTGTTTCCAAAAAGAGTCACTTTCACAGGTATCAAAAATAGGATTTGAATCTCACTATGGGACACAGTTCAGCCCACAATAGATGGCAAGTCATATCATACTCAAGGGCCTCTCTATACTAAAATCAAGTATAATGCTTTTTCATTAGAGTATAGTCACTTTACACTGTTGGTGTTGATTTCTGCTGTACAGTGAAGTGAATCAGCTGTATGTATTACTCGGGTATTAAAAGAAATGGAATCGGGTCATTTGTAGAGACATGGATGGACCTAGAGACTGTCATACAGAATGAAATGTCAGAAAGAGAAAAACAAATATCATATATTAACATATATATGTAGAATCCAGGGAAATGAGCAGGTGAACGTATTTGCAGGGCAGGAATAGAGATGCAGACAAAGAGAGCAGAAATGTGGATGTGGCAAGGGTGGGGATAAAATGAACCGGATATTTACATATAGTTTTCATATTGTTCAGTAGGCAGCACAAGGGAATGGAGGAAAGACATGGGTGATATAACAAGAGAGGAGAATCCTAGAGACCTAGACAGAGGCCACTGCGGCAGCTCATCGGAAGTGTGGCAGGAGCAGTGGTCCAGCATGAAGAGGGGAGGAGAAGCCACAAACCCCTTCTGTCTGCCTGCTCTGCGAACAGGGCATCCCACACACAGCCAAGGTCCAGGGCTTGGGCCTAACAGACTCTCCTGCCGCATCAAATCTACGCTTGGCTGCATGTTTATAGTGCAGTATCTTGAAAGACACAGGCAAAATAACAGGGATATTTCCAACTGATAGGGGGAGGTATTTACTTGTAAGTAACTCTACGACCCTGAAAAACTCACAGGCAGGAGTCCTTCAGTGTTCAGATGACCCTGACTTGGGAAGAGGTGGGCATGTGTCTTCTCAAGACTCCCTTGGGATGGAAGAAGGCATGCGAGTGAAAGTGGCTCAGCCGTGTCCGACTCTTTGCGACCCCATGGACTACACAGTCCATGGAATTCTCCAGTCCAAAATACCAGAGTAAATAGCTGTTTCCTTCTCCAGGGGATCTTCCCAAGCCAGGGGTTGAACCCTGCATGGCAGGCAGATTCTTTACCAGCTGAGCCAGCAGGCATGAGAGAGAAGGAGCCAATTCCATTTAGGAATCCCTCTGTCAGGACCTGAAAGAGAAGGAATGATGGCAGATCCCAGGCTGCAGGTGGCTCTGCTTTCACTATACCCAGCCACCCACTCAGGGGGTAGAACTCCCATGGGGACTCAAGAGGCTGGTAGATGGGCCGATGGGCTAGAAGTCCATCCAGAATTTCAGAGGCAGGAGCACCAAATGACTGATGCTTTGTTCACAAGATCTGCATTCTCTGATGCTGTGTTCTGTTCAGCATATGCTTTTCATCAATTTGTGTGGATGGAAACCACCTATGAAAGACATTTTTAAAAAACATTCAGAAACTACTGAAGAAGGGAAAGCTTCTAGAACTTGTCAGTGCTGGCTTTCACTTTAACATCACGCTGGGGTTCACTTGGCAAGGATGGGGTGAGACCAACATCATTATTTGATGTGAGAAATCTAATAGGTCCTAGGAGTGAAATTAAAGACTGGGGTACTCCACCTTCTCTGTGAATGGTTGTACCATTTCCCATAGATTCAATCTGCTGCCCTTGACCTCTTGCCACCAACCAAAGATGGAATTTTCTATTTGTCTCTCATCATAAAGCTCATCACTTTAAAAAAAGAAAATTGTGTTAAATTTGACTCAGGTAATAGAATTCTACAGGCTGCTGACTTGTGAGGAAAGTAAGACAGCTGTTTTCATGTGTTAAGAAGAACTTGAATCGACAGTTCACATAATCTTCTGTGAACATTTTTCCCCACTGTGTGCAGATAACTATGTTTGGCTTGAGTTGTTAAATCTCTGAATTTGCACACATGTATTGATATGCGACGAGCTGCAGAGAACTAATCGTCCACAGCATTGTCTGACAGCTCATGTTCCAAACGAGCACTCTTTCCTGGAGTCAATCACCTTCAAAAAGAAAAATAAATCTTAACGTTTTCCTCTCAACCAACAGGGGCCTTTCCTGCATGCTGTTGGCAAGACGTGGACAGACGTGGTCCAGGAATCCTGAGGCTAAGACCGCACGGGTGTCCATGCTCGTGTTCAAGCAAGCACAGTCAGTGAGAAGAGTGGCTGTCCAGCAGCCCCGAGAGTGGGGCTGAGAACTGTCCCCTCCAGGGAGAAGGGGAAGCTGGCTTAGTTGAAGTCAGGCCAGTTGGAGGCCTTGCAACAGGCAGAAAGCGCTGACTGCATTCTCTGAATTTTCAAAATGCCCAACAGGAAAGGAAACCCAGAAAAATAAGCATCAGCTCAATCAAAAAGGGGAAGATCTCAACTTACCAGAAGGAAGAAGGTCTGTGCTCCAGGATATGAGATGCTTAAATACCACTTTTGGCTATCTCTATGACAACCCGGGGGCTTCCCAGGTGATGCTAGTGGTAAAGAATCCACCTGCCAATGCAGGAAACTTTAGAGATGCAGTTTCAATCCTTGGGTCAGTAAGATCCCCTGGAGAAGAGCATGGCAACCCACTCCAGTATTCTTGCCTAAAGAATCCCCACAGAGAGAGAAGCCTAGCAGGCTACCCTGGCTTGTCCATAGGGTATCAAAGAGTCGTACACGACTCAAGTGACTTAGCACGCATGCATGTGTGACCACCATCTATCTTGCTCTCAGGAGATTTTCTCCTACTTTTTTAAAAATAAGGGGTAGGAATGGGTGGGAAGTGGGAGGGGGATTTAAGAAGGAGGGGATTTGTGTCCATCTGTGGTTAATTCATTTTAATATATGACAGAAATCAAATCATATTGTAAAGCAATCATCAACCAATTAAAAATAAAGAAAATAATACTTAATAAATAAATGTATAATATGTAAATCCTACAATGAAGCAATAGTGTAATATCAAGAGTAAAGTAATAAATATATGAATAAAATACATAAGTAATAAACACTAGTTATACAAATTATAAACATTACAAATAAAGCTGAGCTTCCCCCGGACCATGCTCTTCCCCAGACCTGATTTCTGTCTCAAAATATGTGTTATGCAATAGGTACTCTTCTCTGTCCTTTTCCAGATCTTTTTCTTACATGCAAGCACAGGCACATACCCAGTACATATTCTTGTAGGGAGTATTCTATTCATACATGATAGATACTGTCCTTCTACACATGTCCTTCTACACATTTTTCATTTCAAAAGTATTCATTTTGCTTATCTTTCCATGTCAGTATATACTGAGCCACCTTTTGCAAAGTATTCCATTATATGGATCTAAAGAGTTTATTCCCTTATTATAGATACTTAAGCTATTCTTAATCTTTTTTGCAGACCATGGTGAAAGTATCAACTTACAGGCACCAATGTATAGAGAACACATTTCCTCCTGCACTTGCCAACACTTGGTATCATTATGAGGTCCTTTGAAAAGAAAGTGTAAGCCTGGTCTGTCCTGGGTGACTTGGTCATTCGCTTACTGAAAGACGGAAAGTCAGAGAGAAGATCCCTCAAGCTCCACAGCAACTCCTTGATTCAATGACGACGAGCAAAAGGATTCTGTGTGATGTTCTACAGGAAGATTACCTGGAATGGGCATATTTTTTAAAGGTTTTTTTTTTGTGTGTATACCCCCAAATTAATATTCCTTCATTGTATGCCACTTAAGAGTTTCTAATTTTTAGTTATTATAAAGGGTTACCTCAATGGATAATTGCATATGTGTTTGTGTGTAGATTGCTGGATAAATAGATCATTTTCTTAGAAAAAGGCCTAGTAGAAGATTGACTAGGTCAAAGATGATGAGCATTTTTGCAATCTAAGTTTGGATCCCAGGTCAGCTTTTCAAAGTCATCTGTGCCAGGAGCTGCTGATTTGGGGCCAGTTTCCTTTGGCGAGGGGTAGATCATCCTAATGGACAGTCTTAATTTATCATGGGTATCATCCCAGTTGGCAGACTCAAGCCTCCGTGAGCTTGGCAGCAATGGGTTCCATCCAAGGCTGATTGTTACCTCCACCTGCCCAGAGTTCATTATGGACCCTGGAGGAAGGCCCATTCATCCACAATGAGCTCCTCGTGGGCAGAGAGAACAATGGTGGCCATTGAGATGCTGGCGGGAGATGTCAACTTTGTGCAGACAGCTGCATCCCCCCTTCAGCTCACCAGCCGCCTCTGGAGAGCTAAGTGAACTGCTCCCCCCGCAAACGTCCTTCCTCTCTGTATGAGGGAGAAGGATAACGAATGTCTACTACATGAAGCAATTAATCTTTAGAAAAAATAAGAACTAACGTAGGAAGAGCATCTGTAGAAGACGCTATATTCTATTTTCGGCAAAACGTGAGCATCTATAGATAAATTGCTCTGTCTACAGCACATTCAGATTTTACCACCTGTGAATTTAATTGAGTCAGTACCTAAGTACTGATTTAAGTAATATGCTCACTTATTAAGTTGGTGCCTGTGATGTATCCTTACAACAAAGAGGAGTCGGTTTTCTTTGGATTTTCGAAGTTAAAAACATGGTTATCTTACTTTAGGTTAGCTTAAAGTTTAAAGGAGGGCAGTGACCCAGGGTCATCGGTCATTTTGTGCAAACATCTGTTTTCCTCTGGGTCACAAAGACACATAGCCTCCCTGTTTTCAATTATTGCATCATTCTCAGGGCTTCAGGGAGTCCCTGTCCAGCCACTGTGGGTTCCCCAGGCTGCCCTCAAACAGCAGCTCTGAAATGGCAGCCAGCGCAGAGTCCAGGTTTATTGGCAGCACATGGACTAGGAAAAGGATGTGTTTGGGAGTGAAGCAGCTGATGCATCTGTATAAAGAATGTGCGGGTGTTTGATAATTATGACCAACCTCGGACTGCTCACGGGAGGCATCTACACTGTGCAGGCAGCACAGCTTTGCCTCAGCAAGTCAGTCTCTCTGTGGCTGAACTGGAAGCTGATGGATTCTGGATGTGCATTCTTTGCAAGGGGAGGTGGCCAGAGTGTCCTCCATGTCCACTTTCAAAGCCCAGCACTTGACTGAGCGCACACTGTGGCAGGAAATGGGCCTTAACATAACAGACGCTTCTCATGGCATCCGGATTCCTTCTAGGGATAAACCTGGGAAGAGAGGTCTCCACTGATCCCGCGGCCAATACTGTTCCCTCCAGTGAGTATATATGTATGTATTGTTCCTTTGTGTGTATAGGTGTGTATCTCCCTGCCAGACTCCCGAAGTATTTAAAGGTGGTAGGATTATGAATAGTTCTATGGAAAGGCTCTTTATAGTCTTCTGCATTTCCCATTTCTACCATAAACATTTATTAGTTAGGAAATAAGTATGTATTTAAAATTCTTAGTTTTACATTTGAAATTTGTCTTTATCATTCAGAATCTCCTGAAGACATTTGCTGGATTCCTAACTGTATTGTTTTAAGAAGTGCTAACCCCATTGTCTCAAACCATCCCAAGTCTTTCTAGATACTTCTAGACCTATGGACTTTGAAATTCCAGTCTATTAATCCCTTGATACTGTCTTTGAGATATTTAGCAGTTTCAAATATTCCTCTACCTGAAGGAGGTGGGTAGGGGCTAAAGGAAAAAAAAATTTTTTTTTAAACGAAGAGTAGATATTTAAGGGATTTCCCTGGCTGTCCAGTGATTAAGACTTTCTTCCAGTGCAAGGGCTGCAGGTTCAATCCCTGGTTGGGGAACTAAGATCCCACATGCCTCAGGGCCAAAAAATTAAAACATGAAACAGAAGCAATATTGTAAGAAATTCAATAAAGACTAAAAATGGTCCAAATACAAAAAAAAGAGAGAGAGAGATAGAAGATGTTTAACATCTCATATGTTCTCAGTTACAGATCTTTAAATAAGCTTTCTGGTTGTTGGAATCTAAAAAGATGCCAGAGGTACTGACAACCCTGAATTTTATTCACCTACTAGGTACAACCAGGATCCTCCAATGGTTTTATTCCATTCCCCTCTCACTTGGACCTTCCAGAAGCAAAGGAGTTAGGCATCAGGCAAATGCACTTAGAAAACTCTTCTCTGGATTGGCTTGATTCTCTGGGAACCCCTCCACTCAAGCCCTGCATCCCGGAGCCACGACTGATGGTCTCATGTCCGACAAGCACTTTACTCTGGGGTTAACACAGCATTTGTAGCAACTTAGGACATTTACCATGGGCTGGAGGCCTTCGTGTAAAGCACCTTGTCATTTTTATTGCCTTTCTTTGAAGAAATATTTGCCCAACAATTTTTTTTTATTAATAGATATATTTTTCTTGTAGCAAGAAGGGATTATTTGCAGACACTAAAGTATTTATTTTTCCCATAACCTTTCAAAGTATTGGCCTCGGGTTTGGAATTCACTTTCCCTATCAGGAGACTAGGATAGAAAGAATTCCTCAAACGTGACCCGTGAAGATAAACAGGCCAGTTGAGGAGCCTGCTTTCAGCAACGCCAGTCATGCGAACATCTTTGTCTTGCCAGAGCAGAAAGGGCATGCTCTGACCTTCTCCCTACCATGTTCCCTTCTGAAGGAGCCCAGGGACTCAGCTGTGAAAAAGAATGAAATAATACCTTTTGCAGCAACATAGATGGACCTAGAGATCTTCTCACTAACTGAAGTAAGGCAGACAGAGAAAGACAAATATCATACGATGTCACTTATATGTGAAATAAAAAAAAAAAATGATGCAAATGAACTTACAAAACAGAAACAGACTCACAGACATAGACAAGAAACTTATAGCTACCAAAGTGGAAAGGGGGTCAGAGGGATAAGTTAGGATTCGGGGGTTAACATGTGTGCATGCATGCTAAGTTGCTTCAGTCATGTCCAACTCCTTGCAGCCCACTGGACTGCAGCTGTCCAGGCTCCTCTGTCTATGGGGATTCTCCAGGCAAGAATACTAGAGTGAGTTGCCATGTCCTGCTCCAGGGGATCTTCCTGACTCAGGGATTGAACCTGCATCTCCTGAATTGGCAGGCAAGTTCTTTACCACCAGCACCACCTGGAAGCCACTGGGGAGTTAACAGATACACACTGCTATATATAAAATAGATAAGCAACAATGACCTACTGTATAGCACAGGGAACTATATTTAATATTTTATAATAACCTATAAAGGAAAAGATTCTGAAAAAGAATAAATCTATGTGTATATGTATACATGAAGAATTTTATACATACATATATATGGATATATAACTGAATCACTTTTATGTACACCTGAAACTAACATAACATTGTAAATCAGCTATACTTCAATTTTTTAAAATCTTAAAAAAAAAAAAAAAATGAATGAAGGAGCCCAGGGCACTCACACACCCTGACAGTCAAAAAGGTTCCAAAAAGATTGTAGCTGAAAAATCTCTTAAGTAGATGAAAAAGATAAGGCAAATCAAAAGGAATCAAAACGCCAAGTATGTTACTGTTAAATTAGACTTTTAAATATGCCACTGATATCAGAGGGGTTTGAGTGCAATTGTCTCCTTAAATTTGGCAGGGAAATCATTAATCATTTGATGTTAAAATTATACAGATTGTTGAATAAATGAGTGGCAGTAGGCCCACATGGTGGTGAACCAAAAGGAAAAAAAAAAGAAAAGAGGGAGAAATTAAAAATTTCCTCTTTGCAGGTAACTGAAAAAGCAAACCCAATCTTCATGGTCGTTTCAAGCCCCAGTCCTTGGATACTTGCCTTCCTAAATGGCAAGTTGTTTTAGAAGTTTGTAAAAGCTTCTCAGGTCCAAAGATAGAGCTTACTCTAGCATCAGGCAGCTTTTAATAGATGTGAACTCAGCGCAGATACGAGTGTTGCATAACTTCGGGGCTTATGGCGTCCCCTTGCTTGTCATCTGATGAGTTGCCAGGGCTCCTGTCATCACTGGGCACCAACATGTACAGTCCAGATGCTGAACAGTGTTCAGGGGACACAACGCTTCTGCCTTAATGGGGCTTTGTGAGTGTGACTTTACAACTTTCAATCCATGTGGCTTCCAGATGACCCTGCCTCCTAACACAGCTGTAACAAACCAGGTTTAGGGACCCTGAGTTCTACTTTTGCTGTTTGCCTAACAACGTGGTGAGGGAAATCCCGTGACCTAACGCATACAGATGACAGACTGAGGAAGCCAGAGAAATAAAAATTTACCAGATTTCTGGAACAAGCTGTTTCAGCGTATCTTCTAACTGGACATCTTATCCGGTGAAAATTGTCAGTTGTGTAAACTTCAGTAGAACAGTCATCCTGGACCTGCTTTGTCTTATGACTGTATTATTCAAAGGTTCACAGGTCACTCAGTCAATTATCCATCAGAGTTTTTAATTGAGCATCTATGCACTCAGGTCATAACTCTGAATAAATACTACAGAGATCATGGGAATGGAGATGAGGTCCCTGCCATCAAAGACCATGCTGTACCAAGCTTGCTCTCTGTTTCCTAGCAGGAATTCCCAAATCACCTCCCCGTCCAGTCAAAGACATTTATTATTTTCCTGAACAGCTTGAGACTCTGAGTCATCTCATTCGGTGAGAATATTAGCCATCGCCAACCTTCTTTATCCACCCTCCACCCATCAGATGTGTTTCCCACACCCCAGGTCATGGTTCCCAACCCACCTGGCCTCACTGGTGATGGTCTTCTCCTATGTCTCCAACCCAGGATACACCAATCACCCTGCACAGGTGCACAGATTCATTTTGCAAAAATTCCAGTTCCATTATATCACCTTCCTGAAGAACCCACTGAAGCTCCCCACCAAGACCCAATCTGGATTCCTCCCTGGGTACTCAGGAAGGAACCCCATTATGGCACCGATGCAAAATTAAGAGATGTGCTAAGCTGCTCAGTCATTTCTGACTCTTTGCAACTCTATGGACTCTAGCCCAGCAGCCTCTTCGGTCCATGGGATTCTCTAGGCAAGAATACTGGAGTGGGTTGCCATTTGCTCATCCAAGGGATCTTCCTGATCCAGGGATTGAACCTGAGTTTCCTGCATTGGCAGGCAGATTTTTTACCTCTGAGCCACTGGGGAAGCCCAGTAGGAGATGTGGCAAAGCTAAAATAATCTAGCCAGTGGCGTTCCCTGCCCACTCTGAATACGTTAAGTGAGAATCACATTTGAATTGGCCTTACCTGTGGTATTTTGGGTTGCATTAATTTTTGTGAGTGGCACCCACCTTTATGCATATAAATTGGGTAATTATACTAGTAAATTGGAACTTTCGCATTTAGAATCAGCACCTGTAAATAACAGGAGGTGAGAGAAAGAAGGCCAGTTGAAACTTTGGCCCTTAATATTTGAAAGCAGCACTTTGTAGACAGCTTGAAGACTGAAAGGTTTTGAAGAGACCTCACAGAAAAAGAGAGGAAACAAAAAAAGAGTACCTAACCATTTTGTTTGTACATTATTTTCTATTTAAAGATAATAAGGTGGTAGAGAAAAGTTGAAACACGAAAATTATATATTTGGTCATCTCATCTCAACTTCCCGCAGAGTAACAGTTGTCACAAAATTACCATACTTGTGTTGGACATAATTTGTTATAACTTGATGGCCTGAAAG